TACACTGACATCTACCACACCACCAGGGACATGTACCGTGACATCTATCACACCACCAGGGACATGTACTGTGACATCTACCACACCCTTAGGGACATGTACACTGACATCTGTCACACCACCAGGGACATGAACTGTGACATCTGCCACACCACCAGGGACATGAACTGTGACATCTACCACACCACCAGGGACATGTACTGTGACATCTACCACACCACTAGGGACATGTACTGTGACATCTACCATACCCTTAGGGACATGTACACTGACATCTATCACACCACCAGGGACATGTACTGTGACATCTACCACACCCCTAGGGACATGTACTGTGACATCTACCACACCACCAGGGACATGTACACTGACATCTACCACACCACCAGGGACATGTGCACTGACATCTACCACACAACAGCAGGGACATGTACACTGACATCTATAACACCACCAGGGACATGTACACTGACATCTATCACACCCTAGGGACATGTACTGTGACATCTACCACACACTTAGGGACATGTACACTGACATCTACCACACCACCAGGGACATGAACTGTGACATCTACCACACCCTTAGGGACATGTACACTGACATCTACCACACCACCAGGGACATGTACCGTGACATCTACTACACCCTAGGGACATGTACACTGACATCTACCACACCACCAGGGACATGTACTGTGACATCTACCACACCCTTAGGGACATGTACACTGACATCTACCACACCACAAGGGACATGTACTGTGACATCTATCACACCACCAGGGACATGTACACTGACATCTACCACACCCCTAGGGACATGTACACTGACATCTATCACACCACCAGGGACATGTACTGTGACATCTACCACACCCCTAGGGACATGTACTGTGACATCTACCACACCACCAGGGACATGTACACTGACATCTACCACAACACCAGGGACATGTACTGTGACATCTACCATACCCTTAGGGACATGTACTGTGACATCTATCACACCCCTAGGGACATGTACCATGGCATCTACCACACCCTTAGGGACATGTACACTGACATCTACCACAACACCAGGGACATGTACCGTGACATCTACCACACCACCAGGGACATGTACACTGACATCTACCACACCCTAGGGACATAACTGTGACATCTGCCACACCCCTAGGGACATGTATTGTGACATCTACCACAACACCAGGGACATGTACCGTGACATCTACCACACCACCAGGGACATGTGACATCTACCACTCCTAGGGACATACTGTGACATCTACCACACCCTAGGGACATGTACACTGACATCTATCACACCCTAGGGACATGTACGTGACATCTACCACACCACTAGGGACATGTACTGTGACATCTACCACACCACCAGGGACATGTACTGTGACATCTACCACCACCAGGGACATGTACTGTGACATCTACCCACCACCAGGGACATGTACACTGACATCTACCACACCACCAGGGACATGTACTGACATCTACCACACCCCTAGGGACATGTACTGTGACATCTACCACACCACCAGGGACATGTACTGTGACATCTACCACACCACCAGGGACATGTACTGTGACATCTACCACACCCCAGGGACATGTACTGTGACATCTACCACACCACCAGGGACATGTACAGTGACATCTACCACACCACCAGGGACATGTACAGTGACATCTACCACACCACCAGGGACATGTACTGTGACATCTGCCACACCACCAGGGACATGTACTGTGACATCTACCACACCACCAGGGACATCACCACACCACCAGGGACATCTGGACATCACACCACCAGGGACATGTACTGTGACATCTACCACACCACCAGGGACATGTACACTGACATCTACCACAACACCAGGGACATGTACCGTGACATCTGCCACACCACCAGGGACATGTACCGTGACATCTGCCACACCACCAGGGCCATGTACACTGACATCTACCACACCACCAGGGACATGTACCGTGACATCTGCCACACCACCAGGGACATGTACTGTGACATCTACCACACCACCAGGGACATGTACACTGACATCTACCACACCACCAGGGACATGTACTGTGACATCTGCCACACCACCAGGGCCATGTACACTGACATCTTCCACACCACCAGGGACATGTACGTGACATCTGCCACACCACCAGGGCCATGTACACTGACATCTACCACACCACCAGGGACATGTACTGTGACATCTACCAGAATACTATGGACATTCAGTTTATTGAGCTGAAATAAGAAATAGTAGTGTTATGGGAGGTCAGGTATCTGGGAAGTAAATTTTGGCTTGCCCCTGTCCTAGACAAAGTTTCAACTCTGAGCCTTATGTGCCTTTTGAGGTCATATTCACAAAATACAGACTACAATTCAATTTGTAACATATGTTATATTTGGGATTACACTTTCTTTGTAAAGTACAAATTCTTTTGTTGGGTTGAGTCCTATCCGGGATTTGAACCCACACCCTCAGAGTCAGGCACCTAATTGCCAGCACACAAAGTCAGACGCCTAGACCACTCAGCCACAAAAGTACTAGAATCTGTACTTTACTAACAGAGCGTAAACCCAAATATAACATATGTTCTAAATGGCATTGTGTGATCATAAGTACATATTAGTTCCTGTGAAAGTGCCCGTGAAGATCCGGGATATAATTGGTCTTCAGCAACCAAAATGGAAGTCGGACAACTGGTAGTCTAGACTGTGGACTTTGTGTACCCCTCTGATAAGTGTTAATTGGCTATGAAAGTACACAAAGTCCACAGTCTAGACTACCAGTTGTCAGACGTCCATTTTTGTGGAAGCCGCAGTGGCTGAGCTGTCTAGGCATCTGACTTTGTGTGCTGGCGATTAGATGCCTGACTCTGAGGGTGTTGGTTCGAATCCCGGATGGGACTCAACCCAACAAAAATACTAGAATTTGTACTTTACAAAGAAAGTGTAATCCCAAATATAACGTGTTACATTTGACCACATTCTAAATGGCATTGTGTACTTCATACAATTCAATTTGAACCAAATATAAGGAGATAAGAAGAAACATGCATCCACAGTTCAGCTTCTTCTGTCTGGCACTTTCAGAGGAGAATATTGTTAGAAAGCAAAATAAAATCATTTTGAGAGACATAGAAAAGTAAGATGTGAAATTGGGTCAGAAATAGCTGGAGTTTTTAGAAATAGTTCCTGTGTTATATTGCAAATCTGAATCAAAGGGACAGTGCATCAGTGGTGATGTGTACTTTTTATTATGCATAAAATCATTTCTGAGTGTGACATCAAGTCTTTAGCTTAGCTTGATTCAGTTCTCAAACCAAACTCAAACCAAAACAATAGGGCTCCTCACAGCAAAGCTGACAATGAAAGTGCTGTGCAGAAGCAGTTTCAATGACATATTTTCTTGAAGGCAAACTGAAGAGAAATTTTTTTGTGTTTTTGCATGGATAGTTCCAAAATTGTAATTCCAACTTGACGAGAATAGCTAGTCTTTTTTATTCAAGCCAAGATTACCACTTAAATGTGCCTCGGTGGTATGAAGCCAATCTTGAGCCCGTGTCACATTGTCACATCTCATTCAGTCTATTTATGTTCTTTTCATCTGTGGTAATTCAAATAAAAACTCTTCTCACAAAACAAGGGAGCAGAGTACGCTGTTGCTGTTTACAAACAATGCCTCAGGACAGTCAGTATACAGACCTCTTGAACAAATTACATTTGTCAACAAGAAATTGATCCAGTTATTTCTGAGGAAAAGCTGCTTATTCACAGTGTTCTTTGAGGAAATTTAAGAGCACAGTGAAAATGTAAAGCATAAATCAAGGTTACAACATCACACACTAGCCCCTAGCTTTATACCATATTTAATTACATTTCAACTGAAACTGAAAGATTTTCCTAACCATGTGTTTTTTATAGGGTCTCTTTAGGGTGGCAATACTGAAAATCAGATTTGAGGCTCTTCACAAACAAACAAGATGTCATCATTGGTGAGATGGTCATGTTTCAATTTCAGAGTTCCAGTGGTGTTTCTGGGGAGATGATAAACGACACCAAAAGTAAATATGTATTCATTCACCATCATATGGTCATAAACCCATATGTTAGCTAGCAACACACCTCTCAAGCACCACATACATAATGATTGTAAAGAAAACCACATGTGACATGTTTTTAACAAATAAACTGAATTTTTTCACTAAAACTTACAAGGTGTACAGAACAGGAGAATTGAGTATGAAACACTTGCAGAACGGTACTGTTTCTTTTCTACCATCCATCTGAGACAACGACCATGCCCTGATTCACCACAGAACAGACAGAGAGAGCTATTGGGATGCTGCAGATGGGAGCAACACCGGGCCATGTTGCATGAATTATGGGATGCACAAAGTGCACTATTACCAGACTGGTCACACAGTGTTCAAGAGCATGATGTTGATGCGTGAACATCGACACAGAGGATTGAGGTGGTGTGCAGAGCTGTTTGTCAACAACGTGCACGTCTTGAACTGGCCAGCAAGATTTTCTGGCATGTTGCCAATAAAGCTCCTCTAGCATCATCATTCATCATCGTTATATGAAGCATGTAATGTTTCAGTTTCATTGATGTAGTGCCCTCTGATGCCACCACTGCTGATTATGTCAGGTGCCGAAAAAGCAGGTGAGGTGAGGTCAAAAAGGGTTAAACTGATTCCAGATTATTAACACACTCTATACTGACTCTTATCTTACTAGCCCCCATGTTTTATTTCCCTAATGTCATGCAGGGACACAAGTCAAGACATCTTTTGGCATTACACAGGTTTTCAGGGCAAACATTCTATCCGCTGTCCAACAAAGATGTGCAAATATTGTGCAACAAAGATGTCACCAGCTGTTGAAACATGAAGATCACTTGATCACTTCATACAAAATACACCTGCCTTAATGTGCAACTAGATGATTGTACTCACCAAGTACTTGTTGTATTTGATGAGGTGCTTGTAGTCCCTCCACATAACAGCTAGGCGAGGCACAGAGCTACAAATCTTGTCAACAGGGCGGCAGTCTGAGGGGTCAAGCGTGGACACACTATGTCCGACTTGGATAATGTTCTGATGGAATTGGCTCATCTAGGTGAACACAGTAAAGTTACACCAACATTGCAGCATTTCAGTTTGTTCAAGTTGTATGTGGGTAAAATGTGAATGTCTCCAAAGTTAAAAAAATAAGATTGACAAAATAAAACAAATGCTTCATTGGCAATCATTCAGAGTGGCAATCAAATTTCATGTGAGTGAAAAAGAAGCAATATCAATGCTTTAATTGTAAAATAGTGCACAACATTTAGCCACACATATCCGTTCACCACTTTGTACCCAACATGTTCTTGAGTCATCTCTCCTAGATGCTCCTTGAGACATAGCAGACTGGGAATGACAGAGAGTTCTAGATGTTGTCCCAGATTCTCTTACAGGTAAAGCAGTTAGAATTTAGAGACAGAGGCTATTGCGCTGCTCAGGGCAGTAGGTAGAGTTGGAGAGTACTAATGACCCAGAGAACTGGAACAGATGTTCAAAGTTCCAGCCAAAATAGTGTAGACACCTGCCAACAGGTATGTTGTATACAGAGGCTTTGTTGTTTCTGCTCAAGTTCCAAGTATCTGAAATAGAGGACTCGTTGCAAACCACTCATTGGTCTGTTTTGAGTCAGAGCAGAAGTTGTCTCAACCTGACCTTTGGCTTACTGGGCTTTTTGTCTTATGGTTGCAGGATGTCCGTCTGCAGTACTATGAGCCACAATCCTAGGGTAAGAGAGCCAAACACAGGTCTAAAATACAGCAAGTTTTCTTTAGGCGACAAGAAGAGGCTCGGGGTGAGGAGCAAATGCTCTTGGACACCCTGTCCTGAAACAGCAAATAAAATCAGGCAGGACTTGATGTGGAACATAATGACCATCTAGAATGAGGTGCTTAGCAATGCTGAGGAAGAGTCTGAAGCAGTTTTTGTTCCTGGTAAATCAAAGCTTGAGACAGTCACTGACACTGGGAATATGCTTGGTGGTTGTAGTTACAGTTCCACTATCCATGGCAAGTATCTCTGATACTGGTCCTGTTGGTTCCCTGGAGAAGGGTGTGGTGCATCCATTGAAGGTGGGAACTGAGAGAGAAGCTGACAGGTGAGGAAACTTGTAGGCACCTGCTGTCAATGTTGCTGATGAGGTGGTGCAGGCGGTGCTGTACTGGAGCTAGAGGCACAGAAGCCTGGGCCCCTATTCTCGAAAAGGAAAGGATCCTAGCCCTAGGATATCCTCCAAAGTTAAACTTTGATCCTAGGGTCTAGGATAGGTCAGGTGTGCTCCGGAAACGAAGCCCACCCCTCACTTTTGGGACTAAGTCCGAATCGTTTCCATGGAAACCGGGAAAAATAAAAATACCAAAAATCTGTGAAGAGCAAAAGGCACCACTTTAGGATCTGTTTGATATATCTACCAAGTTTTGTTGAAAAATACTGAACAGTTCTTGAGTTATGCTCCGGAAACGGGAAGCCCACCCTTCTTTAAGACTAAGTCCAAAACGTTTCCATGGAAACCGAGAAAAATAAAATGACAATAACCTGTAAATAGCAAAAGGCACCACCTTAGGTTATGTTTGACATACCTACCAATTTGGGTTGAAAAATATCGAACGGTTTTGAGTTATGCTCCTGAAACAAAATGATTCTACGGACGGACGGATCGGACAGACGGACGAGGCGACGACTATATCCCAAATATAAATCTGCAAATAGCAAAAGGCACAACTTTAGGATGTGTTTGATATATCTACCAAGTTTTGTTGAAATATATTATAACGGTTTTTGAGTTGTGCTCGAAAGCGAAAGCAATCCTTACTTTTTGAGACTAAGTCCAAAATGTTTCCATGGAAACCAAGAAAAATAAAAATGCCAAAAATCTGCAAATAGCAAAAGGCACAACTTTAGGATCTGTTTGATATATCTACCAAGTTTTGTTGAAAAATTTTGAATGGTTCTTGAGTTATGCTCCGGAAACGAAGCCCACCCCTCACTTTTGGGATAAAGTCCGAATCGTTTCCATGGAAACCGGGAAAAATAAAAATGACAAAAATCTGCAAATAGCAAAAGGCACAACTTTAGGATGTGTTTGATATATCTACCAAGTTTTGTTGAAAAATTTTGAATGGTTCTTGAGTTATGCTCGAAAGCGAAGCCCACCACTCACTTTTGGGATAAAGTCGAATCGCTTCCATGGAAACCGGGAAAAATAAAAATACCAAAAATCCGTGAAGAGCAAAGGCACCACTTTGGGATCTGCCTCACATATCTGCCAAGTTCTGCTGAAAGATATTAAGAAGTTTTAGCGCAGTGCTCGAAACGAAACCTACCCCTCCCTTTTGAGACTAAGTCCAAATTGTTTCCATGGAAACTGAGAAAATAACAAATCACAAATATCTGTGGAATAGCAAAGGCACCACTTTGGCATCTGCCTCACATATCTGCCAAGTTTTGCTGAAAGATATTAAGAAGTTTTCGTTGTGTTCGAAACGAAAACCCATCCCTTCCTTTTTGAGACAAGTCTGAATCATTTCCATGGAAACCAAAAAAATAATAAATCACAAATATCTGCAAATAGCAAAAGGCACCACTTCAAGATCTGCCTCACATATCTGCCAAGTTTTGCTGAAAGATATAGAGATGTTTTTGAGTTGTGCTCCGGAAACGAAGCCCACCCCTCACTTTTGGGACTAAGTCCGAATCGTTTCCATGGAAACCGGGAAAAATAAAAATACCAAAAATCTGTAAAAAGCAAAAGGCACCACTTTAGGATCTGTTTGATATATCTACCAAGTTTTGTTGAAAAATACTGAACGGTTCTTGAGTTATGCTCCGGAAACGAAGCCCACCCTTCTTTAAGACTAAGTCCAAAACGTTTCCATGGAAACCGAGAAAATAAAAATGACAATAACCTGTAAATAGCAAAGGCACCACCTTAGGTTATGTTTGACATACCTACCAATTTGGGTTGAAAAATATCGAACGGTTTTGAGTTATGCTCCGGAAACAAAATGATTACGGACGGACGGACGGACAGACGGACAGGCGGACGGCGGCGACTATATCCCAAATATAAATCTGCAAATAGCAAAGGCACAACTTTAGGATGTGTTTGATATATCTACCAAGTTTTGTTGAAATATATTATCACGGTTTTTGAGTTGTGCTCGGAAACGAAAGCAACTCCTTACTTTTGAGACTAAGTCTGAATCGTTTCCATGGAAACCAAGAAAATAAAAATGCCAAAAATCTGCAAATAGCAAAAGGCACAACTTTAGGATCTGTTTGATATATCTACCAAGTTTTGTTGAAAATTTTTGAATGGTTCTTGAGTTATGCTCTGGAAACGAAGCCCACCACTCACTTTTGGGATAAAGTCGAATCGTTTCCATGGAAACCAAGAAAAATAAAATGCCAAAATCTGCAAATAGCAAAAGGCACAACTTTAGGATCTGTTTGATATATCTACCAAGTTTTGTTGAAAAATTTTGAATGGTTCTTGAGTTATGCTCGGAAGCGAAGCCCACCACTCACTTTTGGGATAAAGTCGAATCGTTTCCATGGAAACCCGGAAAAATAAAAAATACCAAAAATCCGTGAAGAGCAAAAGGCACCACTTTAGGATCTGTTTGATATATCTACCAAGTTTTGTTGAAAAATACTGAACAGTTCTTGAGTTATGCTCGGAAGCAGAAGCCCACCCTTCTTTAAGACTAGAAGTCCAAAAGCGTTTCCATGGAAACCGAGAAAATAAAATGACAATAATCTGTAAATAGCAAAAGGCACCACCTTAGGTTATGTTTGACATACCTACCAATTTGGGTTGAAAAATGCTCGAGCGGTTTTGAGTTATGCTCCGGAAACAAAATGATTACGGACTGGACGGAGGGCCAGACCAGACGGACAGGCGGACGAAGGCGACGACTATATCCCACCGCGTACATGCGGTGGGATAAAAAATAAGATTGACAAAATAAAACAAATGCTTCATTGGCAATCATTCAGAGTGGCAATCAAATTTCATGTGAGTGAAAAAGAAGCAATATCAATGCTTTAATTGTAAAATAGTGCACAACATTTAGCCACACATATCCGTTCACCACTTTGTACCCAACATGTTCTTGAGTCATCTCTCCTAGATGCTCCTTGAGACATAGCAGACTGGGAATGACAGAGAGTTCTAGATGTTGTCCCAGATTCTCTTACAGGTAAAGCAGTTAGAATTTAGAGACAGAGGCTATTGCGCTGCTCAGGGCAGTAGGTAGAGTTGGAGAGTACTAATGACCCAGAGAACTGGAACAGATGTTCAAAGTTCCAGCCAAAATAGTGTAGACACCTGCCAACAGGTATGTTGTATACAGAGGCTTTGTTGTTTCTGCTCAAGTTCCAAGTATCTGAAATAGAGGACTCGTTGCAAACCACTCATTGGTCTGTTTTGAGTCAGAGCAGAAGTTGTCTCAACCCTGACCTTTGGCTTACTGGGCTTTTTGGCTTATGGTTGCAGGATGTCCGCCTGCAGTACTATGAGCCACAATCCTAGGGTAGAGAGAGCCAAACACAGGTCTAAAATACAGCAAGTTTTCTTTTAAGCGACAGGAAGAGGCTCGGGGTGAGGAGCAAATGCTCTTGGACACCCTGTCCTGAAACAGCAAATAAAAATCAGGCAGGACTTGATGTGGAACATAATGACCATCTAGAATGAGGTGCTTAGCAATGCTGGGAGGGAAGAGTCTGAAGCAGTTTTTTGTTCCTGGTAAATCAAAGCCTGAGACAGCCACTGACACTGGGCATATGCTTGGTGGTTGTAGTTACAGTTCCACTATCCATGGCAAGTATCTCTGATACTGGTCCTGTTGGTTCCCTGGAGAAGGGTGTGGTGCATCCATTGAAGGTGGGAACTGAGAGAGAAGCTGACAGGTGAGGAAACTTGTAGGCACCACCTGCTGTCAATGTTGCTGATGAGGTGGTGCAGGCGGTGCTGTACTGGAGCTAGAGGCACAGAAGCCTGGGCCCCTATTCTCGAAAGGATCTTAGCCCTAGGATATCCTTACTTTGATCCC